AATAATCTGATTGGTTTCAAGGTCACAAAGCGATTTTTGTCTCCTGAGGTGGTCGCACAAATCTTTCGAATGAGACTGGCCATCGTGTCACGCCTTACTGTCAGATCCCACTTTTCTTGAAATCGTTGGCATACCCTACTCCTGGTTTGGGTTTAATAAAGTTTTTTTCACAATAAATTTACGATCTTGAGTTGTGAGCCAATAATAATCCATCTCTGCAGATGTTTGAGAAGCAGATTCACCGAATTGACGCCAGCTAGCACAATATTCGCTTATCAGGCAGTCTAGATGATTGTTAGTTCACTCAAGAGGTAGCTAGCGTTAATAACCAGGCTAATTGTGACGCATTTCCAGCGGTAATTTGTCAAAGAAATCGGCATTTGCCAAAATCACCACAAAAGTGATTCACAGACTGGCGCACGCATGAATGTGCTCTCAACTAGAAGTCATCAAAGCGCCAGCATTTTCTCCTTATTTTGCGCCAAGTTCGTATGGTTTGAACACAGTTGCATGCTGGTTCATTTTACTCGGATTTGAGTAAAACAATTCTAGAATTTGAAGTAATCAAGATTTGGCAATTCCGCTGGTAGAAGGTCCAAAAAACTTCTGGGAAATTAAATCACAAAACCCGTTTCTTCGGCCATTTTTGAATCTGCAGCTTCTGCCAGGTCAGATCACCACGGACGATCTGCCAAATTGTGACCTTTCACTTTATTCAATAGTCTGAAGCAACCACAGACCGTCAAGCCCATTGCACTCATTGCGGTGATTGTGCATTTCCACACAAGGATGCTGCACTGACCTCCTGAGTGCTCTTTTATTGATATTTGACAAGAGAGAGAGAGAGAGGGTGGGGGAGAGAGGCAGGAAGTCGTTGTTGCCAGAGCAACGAGGCTGTTGTCTGTTAACCATGACCCAGTGCTTAAACAAATTAGGTTATTCAGTGTGATGCAATTACCGTGAGGCGCTCAATGTATGCACTCAAGCATTGACTCAGTCATTCGGTGTCACCACAGTTAATTCACTTGGCAAAATCGTGTGCGGCACGGTGCCGTAAAGGGTCACAGCCTACCTCCCTTGGCTTCTACAATTTGGCATAATTCCACGGGCGTGAACTTCCTACTTCCGAGTTATCCCAGCTAAAAGGGAGTTGTACTTTTTTTTGTAAAATGGGGAACACTCACACAACTTCATTGCTCTGTGAGCAGCTGAGGCGTAGGGAAACGCCGGTTTATAGCCTTATCGATCGATCGTGAGCCAATCCGGTGACGCGAACAATTCCCCATTCTGACAGGGATATAAACCTGTTCGAGCCACACTGAGGCGTGAGAAGACTGATTCAAACGCGAGACGGGGACACGACGGTTCCCTTTGTTACTCGAAGGTCATTGGCGAAGTAAAATTAGTAGTGACTTCGATTCATTGACTTACAGGGGCATACGAATTTAATTACCTGTTAATTGAGTTGAGCAACGGTAATTAGTGTGGTGTGGGCACTTGGCCCTCGTGTCGGTGAGAAATCGGTGGGTTGGGAATGGCAACATGGCGTTTTTGACTACCACACATAAGCTAGTTTTCTGTGCGGTCAATCAATGCTCAGGTATTGCTGTGGCTCCAGCTCTGATAATCACGGACCGTTTTAGATTGAGTACACTCGAAGCTGATAACAGCCAGTGAAAAAGACGGCAACGACAGCAGATACCGTGACCTTGAAAGGCTAGCAACAAGAAGTGAGTCCCCTGGTTGTAACGCTTAAAGCCATGGTGTAGTGCCTGCCGCATGTGTCGACCAGTCACGCGTGATTGGTCTGTTTACCTAGTCGAACACGCTGTCAGCGGGTGGGTGGGTGGGTGGCGGCAGTGTTTCCGCCCGCGCATGCACACAGCTTCGGACACTTTCAGCCCAGGTTGCCGGCTTTTTTTCGCGTATCGCAACCAAAATGGACGTGTGTTTTCTGTGCATAAAGTCAGCTGGAGTTCAGCTATGCAGCGTACTTTAGCCAAACTCCACGACCAGCGTCACGTGTCACAGTGGATCTCGGGACCGATCCAACACATCCACGGCCCACCATTACGGTGTGCATTGATAGACCTGAAGTTAGGGCTTCATGGCACGTTTAATCTGACACCTCGAACCCAATCAATAGCAATTTGTGAACTTACAAACTCCCTTTTTGTGAAGGGTTCAAATGCTTCGAGTTTGGCTCAGGACGATGGCAGCAGGGACCCCGGTTCGGGGCAGACCTCGGTGCTGTAGCAACTGAACCAATCGCCTAGAGTATTTGGGCATTATCTTGCTCCAAAGATGAACAATATTCAAATTACAGGTAGGCCGTCCGTCTAAACCACAGTTGTAGAAGGCTTCATTTTCTTGTCGAACAGACTGGCAATACCTTCTTCGACACCTTCACCACAACAAATTTCGTCCACGGACCCTGTTGGTCGTGAACATCGTCCCACCTCTTCTTCCGCGTGCACCACTCCAGGTTAAAGCTCTCGTGACAACGTTTCGAAGTCCGCGCTGATGAAGGAGGAAGAAGCGGATGATGGAAGTAGCACCACGGCACCGCCATACCGGCTATCCCAGGAGTGATAGTGTTTATATGAATAAGAAAATCATGAGCTGGAGGCGGACCCATCAGTAATGCGTAAATATTCGAAGAATTTAAGGACAACTCTGCGGAAGAATGGCAGTGAACACCGCTACATCACGAAGTAATGATTAGCATTTTATGCAAATGCTTCCGCGCACCGCCCTACAGCAGGTGCGCTCTGCTTGTGCCCTACTCAGACCCCGACAACCTTCTACTTGACTACAGACTAGGCTTCTGATTTCCTTGTTGAAATGTGTTCCAGGGAGCCAAGTTTCGTTGAATAACACGAACCACACACACACACACATCAAAGCTCTCGCGCACAACCAAACGCGGCGCCTCTGTTACACCCAAATACTAAGAAAACGCTCACTGCGCACCAACAGCCACTCGTGGTGTGAGCCCGGTTCTTCAAGAACACTTGAGCAAGCAGGCTGCAGAGGCGGTGAAAGGAAACGTGATCCTTGTGAGTGCTTAAGACGTGAGTTAAGACAAGAGACGCGTGAGCAATAGAGCAGGTGAGCGACTTTAGCAGACCACGACACCAGTCGATGGAACACCGTGAGGTGCCACCAGGTTGCGCAATCAATGACTCACGACGCAGTTAGTTGGTGATCGGTTCCACAATGGGAGCGATCTCAATGTCCCACGGGGGAGACACGAGTCACAGGAGCAAACGGCGGGATACAGAGCTTGAGGTGACCGATTCGCCATAGTTTGAGTAGAATGGGCAACTCTGCTCCACACATTACCTCTCTATTAATCGTGGAAACAAGACCACATAAGGAAAATAATGTATACAGGCATATTATGTAGAAAAAGTCAACGTGAATAAAGAAAGGCATGAGAGGGCCTGTACAAGCACGCATGTCGAAGTGCTGCTGTGGTAGTGGTGGTGGCGGTGGTGGGTGGACGATAACAATAAAAGCGAGAAGGAGGGAGGTGGGCTGGCTGGCTGGTTGGCACGCTGGCTGGACACCTGCATTTACCACTCGTCATCCGACGGCCTGCCGCGTCGATGTGTCACTTGGTGCTGGTGATTACCGGAGTTGGAAACGCGACCTAGTTTTGCTGGAAGGAGAGAAGTGTGCTTTGTCGTGTCGTGATGCTGAACGACATTCCTGCCCACGTCACCTGCGGCAGCTGCGTTGCTAGGGGAACCGCCGCCGCCGGCTGAGCGACGTTTCAAGAGGTTCCAGTCGAAAATGTAGTCCATCTTGTGCCCAAGCGAACTAAACAGAACGCGGAAGAGTTGCCGCAGATATGAGTAGTCCGGTGGTTCTTCAAATCGCAACCCTCGACAGTAATTGAGGTACATGGCGAACTCTCCTGGGAAACCCTTGCATAGCACCTCCGCCGGGGTGGACATTTTCTTCTCGCCGATTCTTTCATACTTTTGCCGTTTCGTATTGGCCTATAAGAGCATGGGGGAGTAAGATACGAGTGAGTTTCCTAATAAGCATTAATTTTGCGTTGGAGATCTACTGAACACCACTTCAGAAGCTGTGGTACACCGTTACACCTTCGTCCAGTTGGCAACTACTAGAGCGGTTACAAACTCTGAAATCAATTTATTCCAACTCGGTTATGAGAAAAAAAGGTTGGAATGAGCTAGGAATTGATCTGAAGCTTAAAATAACTTAGAGTATGGTTGAATCAAGGTTTGATATACAAATTTAAACAAAGGGATACGAATTGTTAAATATCGATTTTTATGGATAATGAAGCAAAAACGATCTAAAGACAAAACTAAGTGTAGCCTAGACAGTCTCCCATCACTTTTCAACTCCCTCTTGGCGCTTTTGCGTAATGTGGACAAGAAAACAAGAGTAACCGGATTATTTAAAATAACACGACGCCGAATCACTTGAAGAAATTGAATAACTATGGACGGCCAGTTTCTCAGAGCAAGGAAATTGCGAGAGAAACGCAAGACCTTTCCTTTTCTGGCAAGTGTTATAGTCGTAAACTCAGGAATCAGAGGAGGCTAAACTAAAAAAAAATACCAGGAGACCTAAATAATCAGGTTATATTGTGAATTAACTCGTAATTAGAGCCTTTTCAGTACGTTATGAAACATTTAATACTGATAGAATAGGGGGAAGAGTTACACAAACCTTTAGCCCCTGCCACGGCAGACTTCCACGGTTGAAGTACATCAGTACGTAACCAAGAGCTTCCAAGTCGTCACGACGCGCCTGTTCGATGCCCATGTGGGTGTTGATACTCGCATAACGTGCGGTGCCAGTCAGGTTTTTGTGATCCCTAAAAATATGGCGTCACAAGTCGTAGCAATCACGCACCTGAATGGAATGTGCTTCTTTGTTTTGGAACATATGTACTTCTTCGCCAAACCGAAATCAATTATGAATACACGATTACACTGACGGCCAATTCCCATTAGAAAATTATCAGGTTTTATATCGCGATGCAGGTAGCATTTGGAGTGCAGATATTCAATACGGGAAATCATTTGTTCTGCTAACATCAGCACAGTCTTGGTTGTAAAACGACGCGAACAGTACAAAAACAGATCTTCAAGACTTGGTCCAAGAAGGTCAATTACAAGATAGCTGTTCTCACCCTCACGCCCAAAATACCTAGACAAATAAGGCCGGTTGAATTTACTGTACCTCATATGAGGGATTCCGGTCCCACCACTAAGAATTCGATATAATTTGCTTTCGTACATCAGTTGAGGATGGCGAATTTGACTCGTCTCCACCTTAACAGCGACTTCCTACCGAAAGTTTTGGCTGCAAAAATTAATTACCTCTCCAGTTTTTGCATTAACCCCCAAGTAAATGGTGCCGAAGGATCCACTACCGATCCTCCTAACCAAGCGATACGTCCCATTGACGACATTACCGAACTTGGGATGCGCTGTATCCGCCATTACAGTGGACGAAACGAGCAACACACCAGAAAACAAATACTAAAAGTGCTAAAAAAGCGCGTTTGTCAGCAGAAATTTAAAACAAAATATATTCTAAATGTCATTTACAATGAAAGCTTTAGCTACTATAAACGATTTACTGCATTGCGACATTGTTTCTCTAATTTCGTTTTCCAAAGCTTAAAGTAAAAAAGCCCAGATATTAGCTAAACAGGAATTTTCTAATAACTATAAAGATGAGGTTTTAATTTGATACAGTGAATGGCCTACGCATATACCGAGGGCATTATACGTGTATGGGACATGTATTCATAATGCCATTGCCTAATACTGCATTAAAGGCTTAAGCTAGACAGGTGTGTTAAAAAAACATTGTTCAATCATGTTTAAGTCTCAAAATGAATGTCTCAGTTAAATAAAAGTATTGACTTTGTAGTTCAAATAACCCAAATCGCTTTCCTCTGATGTTGTGCATACTCATTTATGAAAAAATATCTGTGTGTAATCCGTATTTTTACTTCTTTGTAACAAACTGTCTCACTTAATTTTTATGTCCATATTTAGGAAATTCGACGTTAAGTTCCCATTGAATTTTATTTGGATTCCACTTTTGGTTTGCTCATTAAGACCTGAAAATTTAAATTTTATCTGGTTTAGTCTGTACTTTGCATCCTTACCTTATATTCTTTTTAATTACTAAAACCCTTTTGCAAAACTAATAAATTCTATTCATTTCCTAAATAGTACAGAGCTTGATTTCTACAATAACATTTTCAATGACTCTAAATTGCCTTAATGGACGTACTTATCGAAGCTTTTTTGTAAACAATTCATTACCTTTTGTGGGGAGTACTTCTTTTGACTAATTTAAACGCAAATGCTACCAAATTCACAAGTTTAACAGAAATGGAATTATGTTCCAATAACTTTTGTGCCTTCATTGTTGTTTCTGGTGTAACTCGAATTCCACTCAATTTATTCCTTATGTTTACTAATTGTAACACAGGCACACATAGCTAGTGACCAAATATTTGAGCAAAACGTAAACTTCATTAAGTAGCAAGTAATATTTATTAGCATTAGCACACATTTTTATACGTTTTTGATTCAATTTGCTGTTTTGTTTTAACGCGTAAAGCAAATTTATTTCTAGTTTACTTTGGGACAAATGGGAATTATGTGCTATTTTGAAAATGAATGAACCTTTTGGTTATGACACTCTGGTGTGGGCTAAGTCGATTCTTGTTTCAAGATTGAGCAACAATAGCCTGTCTCAGTTAATTGAGATTTATAACTAATATTCTTAGATATGATGTCCTGTTGAACATTATTAAAAACTTGCTGAAAGGTCATCCGTTTGACGAAAATTATTTATATGCTCAAAGTCATAACTCCTTAACTTTTGATAACACGTATTTGTGTAATTTTGAAGATGTGCAACCTGAAAATGCTACTTTGACTGTTTTTGGATGTCTATCTAAGATTATTAAAGTTGGCACATTTCTAACCTTCAATTGTAGGCTAATAAATCACCAGCTCTAAGTAATGTGATGAATAATTTAATGATTAATTTTCGAGATGCAGCAGACGTTGGAGTTGGTAGGTTGGCGGTGATATACCTCATTAATTGTGGTTTTCATATTAGGTTTTTCTGAGGTTGAAGTATTTGATTTTAGCCAAAAGATGGCTTCGTTGGCTGTCAAATTCCCCAATTCATCTTTTACATTTTGGGGGAAGATTTTTGGAAAAGTGTCGAATTATTTCATAGTAGAAACCAATTTTGCAAATGAGTTTGTACGCATAGCTGAAAATGCAATCTCGACTACAAATGATGCCACTTCTCAAATCAGATCACAAAACACGAGACCATCTTTTCCTCCAGAGATTCCAGGGGAGGGACTTAATAGCAAAATTTACTTTGTCTGCAATGGCATAGAGAGTGAGTGGGTAATGCTGCCACACGTTACCCCTGATCAGGTATTTAATTTTTCAGATTTTCCATTTTTAGCTTAAAATTTACTCCTAGCCCTATGTAGTTGCATTGTTAGATGATTCTGCAATGTATATTTTGGCACTCTTCTTTGCGTTTGGACGCGTAACAGAAGAATGCGTGCATTTATTACTTTTAGATACGTTGCTCCAGACAAACTTGTGTACTACTATCCGGGAATCTAGAGAATAATATCAACACGTATCCCCCTTTCCCGGGCAAAGAGAAGCACCTTTTAAGAGCTCAAATTGCTCGCATTAGTGCTGCCACGCACATATCTCCAGCCGACTTTTTTCAGCCAAATGAGGACGGAGAAGAAGCCATCGCAAACCCCGAATACGAACCCCTCTCACCTTCCGAGTTGGCCGACTCCAGTCTGGAGAATTGGGTCCACCATTCTATGTTTATATTACCGCAAGGACGCACAAAGAGGTACTACTAATTGGAAAGAAATTTTGAGTTTTTTTTTATAAAGGATAATTTTGACTATGATCAAATTTTTTGCATTGGTCCCAGTAAATCTCCACTATCTAAATGTGTCGCAAGTCAACAAAATCATACAAGGAAGCTTATTCAATTTAATTAACAACCAGATGGAAATTGTAAACAAGCATTTTAATCATGTTGCATGAATTTTAACAAGGGGAAGTAGTAAAGCCTCAGAACCAGGAATCTTGATGAACTAAAAAATCTCATTATGCCCTTAAGTCAATTTCACAAATGCCGACTCCTATCCTATCGATGTACTTTGCCCCAAATGATTTTCCGGCATTTATAATGATTTTATTTGTAAATCAGTGAAAAGTGAGATATTGCAGCCACGTAAATAATTCACTTGGCCATGTAGCGCCCCAGCTCTGAAGCCAGAAAGTAGTAGCCACGGTGAAGACGAGGAGGAGGATGAGGAGGAAGAAGAAGAAGAAGAGGTGGGTCCACCGTTACTGCATCCGATCGCTGAAGACGATGATCTTGACGACGGCACTCCAGCATGGTGTGTGAAGCAGTCGCCAAACGGAACTGTCCTCGTCTCCTCCAACTACTGGCCCGGAGCCTACGCAATCGCCACCGAAGAGTACGTTTTTAATATGCTAATTTTTAGCAGAAAAACTGTTCTCTGTGACTTCCGACATAATTTCCTTGCAATGCCTTTTTCTTTCTAAGAAGCAGCAGGGATGCGCATATTTGGAAGTTTATATAAAATGATCCCTTCTGTTTGGACGATGCATCACATTTAATGAAGGAATGGATCCATGAGAGTTGAACAAGCTGGTTCTAGTACAACCACAAATGTCGTTTTATTGATCAGCCATGGGTGGGGCTAAAAGGAACCAGGAAATCAAAGAACACATCAATGTTCGAGTTCTAAACATGATTTCGGTATCATTACGTTTGCAGACGTTGGTGGAATGTGTACATTGGCTGGGGTCAGAAACAGCTATCAGGCGAGGCATACCGACCAATCAACCTGCACCCACCGGTGGCAGATCAATTCGACGACTCCGAGGAAGCATGTCGTGAAGTGGACGATCCGTCGCACGAGGAAGAGGAGGCCTGGCTTGCTGCGCACGCCGAACTCAACGCAGATGTCGCCGACGACGAAAATGGCGATGGCAGTGAAGAATCAGAGGAAGAAGATGACGAAGACGACAGATGAGGCATCTGCGGTCACCGTGTGAATTCTCTTGAGTGTATTCACATGTTTTAGCACTGAACACCAGTCAATAAACCGTGATGTCGCTTTTGAACGAGTTTTTCAGCAAAGCTACTGCCGGCCCGTTCACTTCTCAAGACTTGCTTAATCCCTATGTTAATGAGGCGACTATTCCCCATTAATTATCTCCCTGAATGCCTTAAAAATACCAAGATACTCTCAGCCTGTTTACTATTGGGTTATTTCGGGGAAGTTTTTACGAGATACACCGATGCAATTTTAAAAAAATACTCCGTATTTGCCAAAACGCAGCCCGACCTCTTTTTACATTATTTTACGAAAAAAATTACTTTGAACCGGATTTTTTAATACAGAAGTAAGCAGTGCACACAAAACAACTTGTAGAAGTTAGTTTCCACGGTAACAGAATATGTTGCTCTCAGTTTCGTGTAGCGTCACCTCAAGATCCAGACCGGGGTCAATATTTGGCCTCAGACGCCTCCAGATAAAAACGACGATGTTTTCCGCGGTGCTCACCATCGCGGACTCACGAAAGTACCCCACATCCAAATCCAAGTGCTTGTGGTCGACTACGTCAAGCACCTCTGTCTGAATGATGCGTTTGAGGTCCCGCAAATTCATCACCATTCCTGTCACGGGGTTAATCTCCCCGAGAACGGTCACCTCAATTTTGTAATTGTGGCCGTGGCCGTTTGCGTTTGCGCATTTCCCGTAGAGCTGAATGTTTTCAGTCTCTGTGAGATTCTTGTTGAAGAGGCGATGAGCTGCAGAAAAGGTCGCCACCCGTTTCAAGGATACTCGTGGACTCATACCGAAGTAGACTGGTATTTCCCCTACACGCTCTGCAGAGTTGGGGCAATCCAATCGGTAGCATCACGCTGATTGGTTAAATTAACTGACCAGTAAGAATTCGTAGGTGGACAACAAGCGCCTGACGGCCAAAAGATGGGTTTATTGGTTACTATCAGTATTAAGATTGACGAGATAACCGAAAATTTATTTGAAAACAATCGACTATATTACTAACAAAAAGGGGATGGAATTAGGAGGATTGATTCAGAAGTTGTCTGCCAACATTTGTCAGCATTGACGCGTAGACATCATCGTGAATGTTAAAGCACTATACTGCTCCGCTGTAACCTAACTGCAAACTGGTATTTCCACTCTAAGGGCCCCCTCCGCATTCTCCTCCTCGCGTAATGCTACCTCTGAGACAGTCTCTCTACACAGTCGCAGGCGCGCTGATCCTGAACACAACTTTTCGTCTCGCCCTTCCATCCACTCCTAAATTCGGTCTCTTTGGGCACCCCAAGTCTCATGCCAGGTGGTACATGACCCTCGACAAACCCACACCAGTTCCAACCACCCCCTCTCCATCCACACTTTCATAAGCCTCGTGATGGGCAACGTCTTCCACGAGATGCCGGTGTTGAGATGCACCCGATGCAGTACCTTGTAACGGTAAATGGCATTGCCCTCCCTCCTACGCCTCTTCAGCATCTTTTTCGGCACCTTCATCTCCGAGACCATCTTTAAAGCTTTGCCGGACACGAAATTAAGCGCATTCTTGTGGGTAAAGATGGATCAGGTGAACGCAGATAGTACCGCGGCATGACGTGGGGTGAATTAAAGCGACTAGTTCTACAAGTTGAATCGACTGCTTTATGCATGGCTTGTATTTGGCTATACACTGGCTTCGGCAGACAATTTCAAATGGTTACTAATCGACTAAAAAGAGGCACATTACTTGGTGAACTACGGTCCCTTTTAAGCCGGACATATTTGGTAGGATTGGCCTCATCCTTAAAGGTCAACTCAAGGTTGGACTCTACTCCCAAAAGTATAAGTTTTTTTCACCAAATGTCCACAACCAGACAAAATGCTCAACCAGTTAGGAGCAAACGTGTTCCACCAACCACCAAGTATTTGCGACAATCACAATAACATTAATACTACATTAAGCGTCTACGCTCAGTGGTAGGTGCAAATTCGATTTGGCGTGGTAACTCAAATGAAGTTTCATTCCGATCCGCTGATCCACTGTGCCCTAAAACAGTGGCAACTGAGCTTGCGCATTGATAAATAAACATAGTAACGTAAACACTGATGACCCTTGTCTCTGGGCTCACTCAATGTTCATGCTAGTAAAGTGTAAGCATGCACACGCGAGTCAGAGTGTTAACACTAAAAGCAACGATGTGAGCAGAACCACAAAAGTTGTGTACACTTTTTTTAAAAAATGAGTTAACGACTGATTTGTATTGAATAGTAGACAGCGCGTACACAAAGACATGTCTAAAATAGAGGCAAATTGAGCAAACAGAAAAAAATTCGTTAAAGTGAAAGTATTTAGGTGCATGAATGCGAAAATATTCTTGGGACATCTACGCAAACATTTAAAAGACTTCGTTAAAAAGTTCATGACTTTAATTTAAATAATGTGCTATTTAAAGTTAATGATTGAATATTATGCAGTCAAAATACATATCTCATTTACTCCTAAAATATACTTATGGAGTAACTTATATTGCATAAGTAATTTCCTTAAGAAACATCACGAAACCCTTGGCTCTTTAACTAAGATATCCAAAATACGTTGACATTTTAGACAGTCTCTCCAGTCATAACAATAAACATAATTTATGATTTTGTGTAGTTCAGTTTAGGAGATGAGTGCATAGCAACCCTTTAGTATACGGTTTATTCAAGTTTGAGATCTAAAATTGGTAATGAAGTGTCCAGGTACCTCGAAATATTGCCAAAATCGCAACAGATGTTCAATTATAGGATTTTCAATGCATTAGAATGTGGACTTGAAAGGCTCAGTGTTTTGTTATAAAATTTGCCTCTAGTAAATGATTATTTAAACAATAACATGATATAAAGTTTAATTCTCGAACAATACATGGTATGATTTGCCATTTAAGAAAAACCTATACTTGAAAGTTTATGCAGTCCGTGAACTTTTAAAACCTTCCAGCACATTATGTGATGGCAGGGGATGTGACTAGTTTAATAAAGTAACTATAAATCCTTTTTTAAGCGACGTATAGTAATAAAAGCATTTTGTTTTATAAAAAGACTTGCATTTATTGACCAATATTTTATTGTTATCAGTCATTGTACGGAATTTGAAATGCCGCCAATTTGGTGTGTGAACTTAGCCCAACTGTATATTCGCCAATGCCTTTGTTTTCACGAAAAAAGACTACTTCTTCCCGAAAACTTGATTCAAAACTCCACCTTGTAGGGTCATTTACATTGTACTATAACATTTAAAGCTTTTTAAACTGGAAATAAAGCGTTGACTAATTTATTCGCTTGGTAAATCGGGAATTTGTACATTTTAATAGACGCTCATAAAACTGTTATTTCCAATTTCACGTTAGGTACGCAGTGCTTCGTGAATGCATTTCAGTGACATGCGCGTATGCTTAACTAATTGCTTTGGGCACTTTTTTAAGGCAGAACGTCTAATTTTTTTGCTAAAATTGGGTCGTTTACTGCAAGCTACTTAAATGTTTTAAATCGCTCCACAATTGTGCTGGTGAAATGTATGAAAAAGGAACAACTAGTCTGTTACCTGCCTGGTTTGTTCCATTTTGTATTTGTACGGTGGAAGTTCTCAAAGTTGAGGGCTTTTGTTGGTAATTAATTGAAAGTTTCTATTCTTATCTTCTAACTTTTCCTTTTTACCTTCAGGCTCAAGAATCAAGAGAACCGGTGTATGACCTATCTGACTGCGAGTTGACTGAGGTAACACTTTTGTTCCCTCTTTCACACGTCTTTTGATAAGCTTCCTAAAGGCGTAGAGGCTCAGGTCAAAGTATTTCAAAAGACAGTTTTGGTTTTACACACAAATTCACTCCAACGTCTTTGCAACACCGGTAAAGCCTCGGATCTTGCCCATCTCACGCACCTGGACTTGCATTCAAATAAATTTGAAGTCTTTCCTCATGAAGTGCTTCTGATGCTTTCTCTTGAGGTAACCTCGCACCTGTTTTTAATGGGCTTTAACAATGGCAGTTCAGGTCTTAGATTTGAGCACCAATCGTATCAAAGAAATTCCAGATCTTATCGGCAACCTCACTTCTTTACAGTCCTTAAATTTTGAAGGTAAGTCAATACCTTTTTTTCAGGTTTCGATATTCAATTTCTGCAATTGTGCAAATGTACATTTCAGCTATCCGTGTGGCATTTTAATAGCCTCCTGTACTGTCAAAAATCTTTGATGACCGCTCTTTTGCTTTTAGACAACTGTTTACAAAGTCTTCCTGCGAACATAGGGAATCTGCGGAAATTGAGAACTCTGCGTTTGGATCGAAATCCAATAACAAAGCTTCCTGTACAACTGGGCCACTTACGACATCTCAACACACTAACTCTACCCGCTGCTTCTCTTACTTTTCCTCCCAAAGGTTACTAAAATGCTTATTTTCCTGAATATTTTTTTGTAATTTACCGTCGTTTATGACCTGGTTTTTCTTCGTTTAGATGTTTGTGTCGCTGGCGTCTCTTCTGTTCTTTCCTACCTTCGTAAAGGTAATCATGATTAACTCAATTTTTTCCTGTTGATGATTCATAGGTGTCTAATAAGTAGTCAGCGCGTGGCATATAGTTCTTGAAGATAGCCAATGTTGTTTATGTACCTCAGATGACTGTTTCATATTTTTAACTGCGTCAATTAATCCATTAAGCCGGCAAACTCCCTGAAGATGATTCTGAGGTAATAGAGACGGTGGTGGCCACGGAGGCAAATCAGAACGTAAGTTTCAGATCATTTCCTACTCTACCATGTTTATTCTGCTTGCAATGTCTGAATTTCCTTGGTTGTTGTATTTGGTGGCGCTTCATTCTCGTTAATCCCATCTGGTTAAGAACCACCCAGTCACCCACCCACCGCACTTATGTTCATTAGAAACCTCAATTTCGTTCGCACGGTTCAATTTGCGTTATGCGCCCCACCTTGTCTCAAAACGAACCCCTACGTAGGCATTTTGCAATCGTTTCTGCAATCGTGTTTTAAACCAGTCCGCTTGAGCAACGAGAACTCTGAGATAAAGGGTGTGTAGGCATGTGCCGTCATTACATTCAGACCCTTTACTACGCCTTTTACCAGTTGTAGTCAATATATTATGTCGTGTGGTCTGTAATGTCGCATCTGTTTTAAGGTTTTCTCCGAAATGGATCGATACTGGCGGGATATGGAGACGAAGAGGCGCCAGAACACCGAACTGCACCACCGGGTGGCCGAGGAGTGGCGCGCCCAGGACGAACTTGCACGCCACGCAACCGAATCGCGCTCCTCCGCCCTCAAGAGGCTCGCTCAGGTGCGTGCGTCCGACTCCCCTTTCCGAGTCGAGTTTGTGGTCCGTGTTGACCTGCGTCTTCTCTCTTTTTTCGTCATCAACCGCCTACAGGAGGAGACCCGCACTCGCGCCGAACTGGACCGGCTGCAGAAACAGCGCGACCAGCGCCGACAGGAGTTGGTGGCGAGTCTGTGCGACGCTGAGGCCCACGCGGACGCCCTGATCGCGCGCCTTCGTCAGCGAGACGCCGCGCAGGCCGCGCATCTCCTCCAGGAGGCCCAATGGGAAGAGGATCAAATGCGCGCCCTCTACCGACACGCCGGGGAACGACTTTCGCGGGAAAACCGTGAAAAAGTCATAAGTAGGTCCGGTCTCTCCGCGTGTTTTTTATTTATCCTGAATTTGGTCAGTCATGTAGGCAACTGGGTCGCGGTGTCGTTAGAGTGTGGTGGGAGAAGGTAGTGAGTGGATTTCGTCTGAGATCCGAGGCACTCTAGTTAACTGTTATTCAAAAGCCAACGTGGCTTCACCGCCAACACCTCCAGTAGCTCCGCACAGCCTTCATTTAATCATTTCCAGCGTCTCGCTTATACATTAATTTGGATTTTCATATATTTTCCTTAAAGCCAGTTTACTACGATGGTTTTTTTCGTCTGTGTGTATGTGTGCGTGGTTAGATTCAATGCAAGCAATGCTTCTGGCCTCGGAGAAGACCCTGAAACACTCTCGCAACTCCAAGAAGGGTTCTCGATTGAATGCCGATGCAAAATCGGAAGATGCTGATCGCGCCCTGCGACGCGTCTTGGCAAACCGGCAGGCCGACCACGCCGTCTTGGCCGCCCAAGTCGCCGTTGAGGTGAGCACGCGCGCAACTCCCCTGTTCGATTGGTTTAATGAATCACAAACTGGCGACTCTTCACGATTCTTACTTTCCGTTGATTCAGGAGACGAGGCAGAAGGAGGCCTTCGAGTGCTTCCAACAGCAGCGGGATCTGAGGCGTCAGCGCATTGTCGGCGACATTCGTCTGGTGGAGGAGGAGCTGAGGCGTTTGACGCGAGCCGAGCAGGAGCGACGACGATTCGAGGGCGCCTCTGCTGCAGCCTGCTTCGCCGAGCGTCGCAGCGACCTCGTTCGTCTGCTGGCCGAGTTGCAGAAGCAGAAGGAGCTGCGCGAATCGGAGCTACGCTCACGCCTTGTCAGTTGGCATTCACTACCTTGATTAATGCAGTTCTTGCATTTTTGGAACAAATCGACTAGCCTAGCAGTTGCTAATCTCAACTATCATTGACAAGGCTCTTCCGCCAATTGTTGGTTCACTTGTAAGACCAGGTTACGTTGTTCCCAGCGGTTTAAATGAACTTGAGCGTGGTAGGGTTCTGCAATTCGTGACGCCTTGAATTTCCTCTAGGTGGAGCTGGAAGAACGAAAAGCTCGCGACGAGACGGACTACTGGCTTGTGCAGTACCAACGACTGATGGAGAAGAAGCCTCCGCGTCTGCTGAAGGTACCCCTTCTGGGTTCTCGTTAAACCTGCTTGGTGCTACTACTGCGAGATTCCCCACACCAATAGCAATCGGTCGTACATTGAAATAACAAATATTTCCATGTTGCCACGTCAAATTCTAACGAAGCAGTCCTCATCTCCATTTGTCATTACGTACTGTTAAAGTCGAAGTCGCCGCGTCTCGATTCTGTATGCTGAAGTACCCTGGCACAATTCAAGGACCCATGCACCCTAAATGCGTGAGCCGTGGATCCAACAACGCCAATATCGGTCGATATCGAACTCTTCGGTGTTCTATTCAGAGGTATATACCAGCTCATGCTCTCCACATAGCCTCAAGCTTCAGTGGAGACTTCCGTTAGAATCACATTAATGGAAGAAATTGTTCTCCTGTCTTATTGATCGAAGCGTCTGGCAACCCTTCACTACCGGTCAACTCTCTCCACGAGTCCTGCTGTTCGTGAATGCCATTGGTGCAGGGCGTCTGTGACAAGGTCGTTTCTCTGCCAACAGACGACCATGTCAGAGGAGGTATAGTAACACGGCTTCTTCATCGTCCGAAAAGCTATTGTAGAAATCACGCTATTGCGGAATCAGAAATAACAAAAAGGTCAAGGGTGTTGGGGCAGTCAGTATTCCAAGGAACTCGTTACTACTTCTCGTACAATTGACAAGTTTAAAATTCTCTTTGAAGAGAGGGGACGTAAG